TCATGGGTGATGGTTGACTCTGGCTGAGGTCGATTCCGCCTGGAATATGGCGCAAGTCACGTGTGACCATAGGGCATTCCTCCTAGTGGTTCATTTTTGGATTTTTGGAATCTATCCATAACGCTTCAAGAGTTCTATGCACTATAATAGATGCCTGTGTGAGGATAGTGAGTTCTATGTCAAAATCTCCCAGTAGAGTATTTCGTATAATTTTAAGTTTCTCAACTAGGTTTCCTTTTATACAGACGCACAGTGGTCTACCCGTTTCGCACTCGTATTGGTCTCCACACTGTTTACAAGAAATTAGGTACACCGCACCCTATGAAAATAAAGAGCAAGATGAGCGGCACCTCATTCCCGCTAACGTAATAGTTTGGGTAGTGGTTTTTCTTAAAGCTGTCGTTAACGGCTACCATTCAATGAAGAAAAGATTTAAAGAAAGAATATTAAACTTTTGTCTCCAAATTTTTGACTTAAATTTGAAAATTTACAACACCTTAATGTATCAGACTGCTGCTTTGTTTTTTTAAATGATTGAAAGGAATTGTACTAAAAAGCTCAACTTCTGCCTTTCATTACCAAATTTTTCTTTTGAGTGTGAAGAATTATTCATTACGACAATTTTGCATGGAATTCTGATAAGGATAAGGATAAAGCTCTCGGCATTGATCAATCCCTGAGGGACGCCTCATGCATTCGACTTCATTAAGCATCGTTGGACGTTATTGACTATCATAACTGGCCTGTACAATGACATGCTGTAGCCTACGATGTGCCGAGCCAGTGCCGCTATCTTCCTATACAAGTCTGGTTCGAATTCGGCGACCCCGAAAGGATGGAAGGCTTGGTGGGCCATGGGTGCCGGGATCGATTTCACGTGTGTGTTGCAGTGGCGCCTCCAACCACTGCGCCACACACGCCCTCCGATAATCTAATAATATTCGAAATGGCTTCATTTGAAGTTCAGATGAAAATAAAGTGAGTAAATACCAATAACGAATATAATTGCTCCCTAACTAGTTGGAGAGAACACTTTAGGCTTACACAAGACTTTTTAGCAAGCAATCTGAAATGGAAACGATTCTTCTCATGAATAACTTACTCCTAAATAGCAGATTTTGAGTGGAATTTGATGAAGAAAGTTTTAGAGTAATCCTTCTTAAAAATTAATGTCGCAAGCTATGCCGTTCGCAAACACACTCATCATCAATATAGTAGATTTGATTGGCTTGTTTAATGACTCTGTTTAATGACTTTAATGAGTCGCCACTAAAATAGTGAATTTTCTCCCAGCTTCTTTTAATGCTCATTGAACTCATAAAGCTCCAATATTGCACTCCTCTTACTTACACCTGTAGAGGTATACAAGTCGATTTGGAGTTACAATGCTTTGCAGTCGATAAACAAACTTGTGTTTTATTGTATGCTCTACGATGCAAGTCGTACGATGCACTAAAACTACTTCAATGGCAAATAAAGCAGGCTTTCATAGCAAAACTAGCAGCATTTCTTTGTGAATTTAAGTGAATGAATCTACCGAAAATTTCACAAGTAGCAAATTACCACATTTCCCAGGGACTAACTTTTAATAGCTTTCGTTGGCACTAACCATTAATCTTTATGCATTAGGGATACATTGGAGCAATTGTGCCTACATGTACAATTATTTCATCTTTACCAACGTTTCAGTATGTTCGACTTTGTTTAGACCCGATTGCTTTAGTTGCTCTATATTTCGCTTACAGTTCCTCAGTAATAAAGCATATAATCACACTTCTGCCGCACTGAGGAAACTCGTGTCGGTAAAAGCGATCTAGTGCATCGCCTAGTTGCAGATGGCTCCAGGTGATGAACTCGCTGATTCTGCTGCACCGATTGGGCATACACCTTTTATGTTTAGGAAAACATATTTACGCATATGCGCGTGAGTGTGCTCCCATTTACGCCGATTGTACTCTTGAAATTCCTCTAAAGGTCCGTAATGAAATGACAGGGAAGTATGTGGGAGGCGATTAAGACAACAAGACTTCCAACAAATAAGCTTATTGTTTATTCTGAAAGAGTCTGACAAGACACACGTGAGTATAGCCAATCTCTATGGCGAGAGCTAGGTAAGTAATCCGCAGATATCAATGCTCGAACTCTCCCTCGAAACTCTGATACAATGGCGCTCTGATACAGCGCGTTAGGTAGGCTGAGCAAGGCGATGATCCTAAAACCAAAGGGTCTTTCTATGCTAACTAAATTTTCAGGCACTAAGCTGATGATTTCTGCTTACAACACGCACACTAGCACCTGCATCCTCCAAGAAGTATCTGATGATGCGTGTTTAGAACAGCAGTCAGTGAAAAAGAGCCGTTAGTGAGTGGGTTTCTCGGGATGTCAGACGCACAGCAGAAAGGCCACCTAACTGACGACCAGAGTTAGAGTTGCTCATGAAAACCAAGAAGAACGACATGATACTAAACGACTACTTAGGACGAGTAGATCCCACTAGGCTAATCTTGCACACTATAGCGACAAATGGAAAATTTAATGACACCCGCTCGCGTAACTCGGCGACAAATGCGAGGGCAATTGGTACAAGTAAAAGTACAGAGCAAAACATGTGTTGATGAATATCAAGAATAAAATACACTTCATCCAACTCTCGAAGAAATTGAATTTAGAGACGTGTTAGAGTCGTTGGAACACTTACGGTATGGAAGCTGTTGTTCTTCCAACCAATTTATTGCTGAGATTGTATAATCATAATTTGAGCAAAATTTTTAGAAATTTACTTGGCTTGAAAATTCACTCTGCAATTTAATTTCTTCTGAGCAAAGCTATTCATTCATGATCTGGGCAATATTTACATCCCACCAAACGTAAAATAACCCATACATAATGCATTTTGATTTTCCAAATTCAAACGAAATTTTCACTGAGTAGCCGTTTCCAGATATTCGATTCCTCTTATTGGACTAAATTGCCCTTAATAATTCAAAAGACCGACTCTTGGGTCCCACTCGTGACAACACGGTTCTGAGGAAAGCGAAATCGCCGAGACGAAAATCAACCATCGACCAGGAACACCAACAACAACGACAACGATAACGAAAACTTATAACCTCGCATCAGCTCAACAAAATCAGTTTATAGGATCATACAAATAAATAAATTCCCCTTGTTTATTATAGACTCTGGTGTTTTTTTAAACCTAAACAGATCCCTGTAACAGCAGTCCCCGACTCGGCCGCGTGTTTCACACATATGGCTCAGGTGCTCAAGAAATCCATCTGTGCAACGAATAATTGATGAGAACCCAGTGAAAACTGATTATCTTGGAAATCCTTTATTTTCCCACAACTATGTAGTACTAACCGAAGCGAGATAACCACTGAACATAACTCTTAAGCCTTTGGGCCTTCAGCCTGTCAGCATATAGCATCGCTTGGTGGTTATGAACAAATGATGGTGCACGAATATTCTACCTCTTAAACACAAATGCAATTATGGCTTCTAGTTTGAATCTCACGTTGCAAACCAACAAATTTAAACACGCCTAAATGTTAAGAGCGCTTGACTTCGCTGAGCAAGCAATGCATAAGCGTCAAAAATATTACTTACGGGTTTTTGAACTGTTTCACTAGGGTATAAATGATACTCAAATATGATATCAAACATAAGCGTACTTGAGGATAACCGTAACGACCACCACTCCATAAGACATCCTCTCAGACTAATAAGAAAAACTGATACATATGATTATAATATTAGCCCATCATGACTACAGAGCTATCACTGTTACAGCTTAGTTGACATTAGTCAGTTGAATAAATTTTCACACGTCTCTGAACTATTTCCATCGAAACGCATCACTTTCAAAATCGATCATCAAAGCGTGAAATTTACGAGGCAATGATGGTTGGTACACCAAGTTCAGGAACTTCGGCTCAAAGGTCATTTATTGTAGGCATGCATGCTCAACCTCATCAGAGTAGTCAATGAATACAGCGCCTAGCCTCCACGAATGGCAGTTCACGTGCCAGGTTTTCATTTTTAGTAAAGGTAGGGCATATCACTTCTTCTCTTTGGTTTCGTTAAATTATCAAATTCATTCTTCTCTCACAAGAATCAAAAATCTAGAAGTACATTTATGCTTTTAGTACGCATACTGATGAGTAACGACCTACGCCGAGACGCACTGAAAGGTCAAGGTCAAATTATCTAGGTAACCGGACAAATAAGCTTCATTTGACGACGAAATGACATAACCTTGCCTTGATAAAAATATATGAGAACTCAATCTTGAGGTTCTCAACATCCTAATATTACTTCAGAACGGAGATTACTTTCGAGATAACTCTCAGTATTTTGGATGATATAAGTAAATATCAATGTAGTTACTGAAATTCATTGAACCACATGTGATAGATTCCATGCAGCAGTCTTTTTTCCTATTTAAAAAGCTTCAATGGTACCGAAACCGTAACTGAAGAATATGCTCTGATAGAAATCTGGAGATCGACACCAAAGCGAGTATAGCATGAAAAGTATCACCAAACTAATCAACTTAGTTATCAATGACGCTATAGAGATGACACGAAATAAAAGTAGTAGAAGAAAGAAGGACACCCGAGCGGACCCTTAAAAGCTCCAACTGTTCAACGAAATAGAAACACGCATTGAAGAGTAATCTCCATGAGATCACCTCCGCTAGCGGGCATCTGATCTAGAGAAATGTGAACAACTAAAAACCTCTACCAATCTGCACTATTACTGTACGGAAGTAGCTAGGCAGTACTGGTGCGAGAACACGTAATAAAAACAGATAACCGAATAAAATAGCTCCATCACAAAGAAAAACAACTAGATAACTTGACTGAAGATAACAATGGACGATATTCGAATTCAATTACACATTTAAGAAGCATGAACATTGGTAAGAAACTGACATATGAGTTATATCGAGACAAGAAATAATGTGGTGCGTATGGCTCAGAAGAGGCGCCATTGGATCATAATCCCACGATTATCAGCTGATCAATGAGGTCATTTGTACGGTTGAAAATGTGGTTGATGTCGAACACGCGCCGTACAAAAGACGCCACCTTCTAAACAAATAATGTGAACCATGGAAACAAAACCACAAATTTACGAAACAATTTCTTGCTCGAAATGGACCACGAATACATTACATATTTTTCTATGTACCACTAAATTTATTCAAAAGCTCCAATTTAGTTACTCGTAATGTTACCCGTTCCACTGAGTAATAATCCTAAATAGATACAACACGGTGATTCCCTTTTACAAGTCCAACCAAATTATTTTCACTACAGGATCCTCAAAAGCATGTGCAGGGCAGTGGTTAGTGGTGCTCTCCCCATCCATGTGGTCATTAGTTCACCAGGCTCACCAACTCTTCAATCCTTTCACAGTGAGCAAATTGGTACCAAACTTGTCTAGGTTAGCAGCACCGACTCTCTAAACCACCGCAAGTCGTTCTACAGGCCAGATATGTAATTCGATCACCTATAACGATGCTTGATGAAGTCGAATAAATGGCCGGGCTTTCCATCAAGAAGCCCAGCTAAGAGTAAACCGACACCAGGATCCATCGCCGTCCTGGTCTTAAATTGCTCGCATGGTGGCAAATCTCCCTCTAATCCACAACGGCGGCGACTGCCTGTGGTGGCGACGACCTAGGGCAGACTCTGGCCAGGCTGACTTCAGGACTCCAGGGAAACACAATGACTAAACCAGCAAAACTCCGAAATGGAGAATTTGATGGGGCCCGCACAACTACTGAGCACGAGCGGCCCAGGTATCCAAGTATCCAGGTATCTAGGGACTTCAATGTTCAACCTCCATCTTTTGAAGGATGCTCTAATGAAGATGGTTGACATCAAAGCAGTAAGATAGAAGAGGATCTGTTAAAGGTTCAGTTAACCAGAAATTCAAGCTTGAAATATTCTAGTGTGGATCCACAGTGTCAATAAGAATAGTAGAGTCATAGGTACTGATAACTACGAAAAAGTAACACTGAGAGCGTTCCAAAATCTGCAATGCCTCATACTACAGTTACAATCAATTGTTCAATTGTTGAAAAATTTACACCGTCCAGAAGTTTTGTTTAGCTTACTCTGGAATATAAATAAATTTTACGATGTTTCACAGGCGTAAATTAACTAACATTAAGAGTAGCTGTCATCATTAACAGATTTGAGAACAATAATTGTGAAGAACTTCCACGTTCGTTGCTAATCCAGAGAAACAGTTGGCTGAGAATGCGAAGCCGTTCCGTTTCTATTGTTTTCTTGCCTGTCGATGACAATCCCTCAGCATCTGCAGTTTAGAAAAATAACAACAAATTTGAGCACTCTTATCATCGACTACTGTAAACATGAAAAAGTAACTACAGGTAGGAAATCGAGAATTTAGAAGTACGTGCTCGTGAAATTGTATTCTGCTTCATTCTCATAAGAAATGAAGAAAACAGGTGGGAAAAATAACCTCAGTTCTTACTGTTTATAAGTTAACCAATCTTCACATGTTTTTCTTCTATATTACCTCGATAGATATTTTACAGATCTACCCACAAATCTTGTTCCTTTCTACAGTATCAAACACATCTATAGTCAATTGAATTTTTCATTATGATTATGAGCACCTGCACTTCTGATTGTATTGGAGATCTTTCATAGATTATGTAGCGTCCCGGAAACACCTCCCGTAATATTTTGCTGTCGTAGTTATGCAGTTCCCAATGGTTTACCGCGTCATTGTGGCTGGTAAGTGTTTCTGAGTGTCGGACTATGATGTACAGCGGAGGGATTCCTCCCCCGGCAATGCCTCCTAAACCGAGAAGAGTCCGGCGTTCCCACCAGGAAGCCTAGCTAAGAATAAACCAATACCAGGTTCCACCACCGTCCTGGTATCAAACTAGTCGCTGGTGGCAAGTCTCCTTCTGATCCACAAGGGCGGCGATTACCTGTAGTGGTGATGACCTGAGGCAGAATTTGGCCAGGCTGACCTTGGGACTCCAGGGAGCCATAATGGCTAAACCGGCAAAACTCCGAAAAATGGAGATTGTGGTAGGCTCCGCACTACCAGTGAGGACGGGTCGTCCACGTGTCCACGTGTAGTTACGCGATAACGGTCATTGTAGTACATAACTTTTTATTTCCCTTTTGTTCACATTAAGCAAAAAATTTGCCAGAAATACTTCGATACGTTGCATCACTTACCGCTATCTCAATGAATTACCGAAAGTTGAAAGACCGATGAAAATGAGCACCTGGATTATGTAGCAAAAGCATTTTGTACAATACGATATGATGTTGTTTAATTTGAAGACGTCGCATAAGCTTGAAACATCCCTCGATAAGTATCGTGTACATCTCTTCACTAGAATATCACATGCAATGCGACTATCATTTCTAACATGAGGAAAAAAGTAACGTTTTTAAAAGTTTTAAACTTTCTCACGTGTGACTTATGTCGTTGACCTTTTCAATAAACGTGCCATCAGGATAGTTTAGCCGATCACTCTCAACTGGTTCATAGTCAGGTTCTTTTTCTGTAAAAAAAGAAAACAAAATAAACAGTATGACTAACGGTGGTGAATACTAGCAAAACAAATAACTCTCACTGATAACAATGTCACTGTCTTCGGGTGTCGTTGTATAGTACGCCAGCTGAATTAGAGGAAATATTGGAGCAAAAGCCTTCATCAGTGCAAGCTAAATCCTTGACGTTTTGAAATCCAACTGAATTGCTTCAAGTTGAGATAAAGAAACCAAACACTATACCTTGTCATTCAGAAGAAGGCGATCCATAATCGGTAAACACTTTCCCCATTCCATCATCAACGAAAGGTCTCGTACAAACCATAAACGCAAGGATTCAAGGGTGCAGTGGGATGAGAGCTTTGTACTGTACTGAAATATGTGGACAAGCTATCCAACTGCAATAATCACGATGAAGTTTACTTAGTCTATTTTACACCTACGTTTGTAATCAACAGTGTCTGGACGTCACATCCTGATGATTCCTAATTTCACATCATTAGAACACGATGACCAAACTTGCAAAACGATGTACAACGGCGATAAAGAGGATCGTAAAGAGAGAAGAGTAGCAGTTGTGGTTGAAACTGCAGATGCTGAGAAAAGTATTCGTAAAGCCCATCGAAGCTTTGCCAATTACAAGACCACGATTATTCCACTCCGATGTCCAGACGGAACATTTACACCTTTCAAAAAGACAATGGGTAAAGCAACTCACGATTACTACTCGGATCTCTTTAACAGCCATTTCCTCTTACCATCAAGTGAAATAAGGTATAGACATGTCATCCCACCAGTTCCTTTCGAAATCTGCCATACTACTTTGTCTGTGGAAAATCGAACATCCTGTCCTGACATGCTAAGATCTAAACACCTCGAGGAACCTACCGCCAGTCCTCATAAACACACTGGCTCGGCTCTTCACATATTATCAGTCGGAGCGAGATGTCTACATTTAGTGGAAAACCAACAAGACTGCGACTGGATTCTTTGAGATGTCAAATGTGCTGCAAGAAGACCAGTGACCGGATGGTCAGAGTTTTTCATGAAAACCGTAAGAGAAAGAAGTGATGATCAACGAATCGCTAGAGCGGGCAGAACCCAATGGGCAACCTCTGCAAGTGATAATGAGAAATGGAAGATTCACTGGCGCTCGCTCTATTCACTTGGCGATCAACGGGACGATAGGTGATACTGGTGACCATCAAGATATGCTTAATCAGAATAAGTAGAGAAGGCCTGCTGGTAGCACAGCCGAAAACGCCTACTCGTTATTGTTTCTTGTCCACATTCACTAGTGTCCACACGAAAATAACGCTTTGAAGACCACCATTTCGGACACTTTCATTTTATATAAAAAGGCACACTATACTAAATATTGAATGTATCCAAAACAAAACCATTTTAAACTGTGCACATTGGTTTAAACAACACTGTCATAGAGTTTCACATTTCATTTTCACAGCAAACACTTACCAGTGGTTGTGAATTCTCTCTCATCCATTCATAGTCGTTGAATAGACACCTGAAAACAATATATTCAAAAACTTCGTAGAAGATCTCTAAAGCTAACTGGCATGTATTTATTATTGGAGGAGTAGCAACCAGTCCTGATTAATGTCCAACTATGGCTTTCTCTAATACAATAGTATATGAACTAATCTACAGAAACAACTTGGCATTCATGCAACTCAGTCGTTGAAGGTGTCCAGCAGCACACACATAGTTCTCCGTTCGCTTCTGTGATTTAGGCAAATAAGTTCTCCTACCTCTCTGGGGTTGAACTGTTGGTTACAGGAACGTCTCTAACGGAATCACCGACCTGATGCGTTGGTAACTACCGCGAGCCAATTTATAAGCCAAACACGCTTTGTACTCTTTCAATCACTTCTGCGATGCTTGATTAAGTTGAATGCATGACGAGTCCCTCAGGGAATGATCAACGCCGAACGATCTATTTGTTATGGAAACAACTCAGATAAAATTCATGCATTCCTTCTTCACCGTATCTAGCTGCCTAAAATGCTTACCACCAGGAAGATTTTCACGATATTATTTCTTTATCATGATTAAAACGGTTGGATGAATAAAAAGACAAAGAAGAATTAGAACAGAACAACCAATGTAAGTTTCACCAGACTAAAAACGTTTCAAAAGTGCAAGTATCTATGCGACTCAGTGCTGGAATAACTTATAGAACATAAAATTACGAAGAATATCTAAATCACAGTATCCACCGTTACACCTCCAATCACCATCACTAGTTCGCCTCGATTTTTTCCCTAGTAAATCTGTCTTCAGTTTTTTTTAATGTCATCTTTAGAACTACTAAATTTACTATGCATTAGTTAGCCTTCGTAAGCTTAGACAATGTTTTCTCATCCTCTTAGGAAGTTAACTATTAAATAAACATCGCAAGCCCTGTTTTCACTTTGACTAGTAATTTCTAATTTCATTTTTGCAGACGAACATAATTCTACCTAAGTTGTACCCTTTTAAACTTCCATTAAAGTATATTAACATAATACCTGAGACTGAAGTGTAAATTTTCTACTACTACGTATAGAGGCTCTTTTTTTGTTACGCCATGTACACGCCACAGCGCCGTTACGCCATAACCTGTGATGTACAATCTAGTTTCTTTCGCGACGTGGTTTTAGATAGGGACAGTATTTCCCTGGAAGTGATTATTCATTAACTTATATAGTGCCAAAAAAAAATTTAAGTGCTGTTTAACCTAATCGCCACGATCCTCAATGCACACGGTGCAAAAACAGTAGTGTTCCCAACATTAACAATAAATCTCAGTTCACAGTGAATTTCACTTACTGATGTAAGAACCGGTTGAATCTGTAGATCTTTTACAACAAGATATAAGTTTACCATGACGAAAATCTGACTTCCTAGAGCTCATGAAACGTTCCGTTCACGTTCTTTGCATCAGTGCTAGCATTTCAAACACCGAAGCAATAGAAAATCTACAGTTCACCATACTTGTCACAGTTGTTTTCCCCAATGTATCCTTAGTGCATGACACTGTCCCGGTTTCATGTAATATTTCAAAAAACAGAGGTTCGTTCTCGACATTTGAAGAATCTTTATTGTAAATATATTCAAGGAGTAGCCCAATGGTTAATGATACAATCCATCATCAAGAGGAAAGAGACTGGTTCGATCAGCTCCCAACGCTCTCCACCAATCCAAATCGGAACGCCTTAGCTCGGCTGTCTCCTAGACTGCAAGAAGATTCGACTCGACCAATATTCTACGACATTCGTAAAGAAGAAATCCTCAATCAACAACCGAAACGAAACACGAAATGTTCGAAGGTCTGGACTACGAATGCAAGGAGAACAAATCGAATGCAGACAAGAAGTGCTACGATCCGCATAATGAATTATATAAAAGTGTTTAAAGTTATCAGTTGTTCCACTGCTCCTTTAATGGAAAAATTATAATCGGTCGCTGAAAAACCGGCTTAGTCGCGAATATGTCAACCGAATAAATGAAGATGTAAATTTTAACATCGACTTTCATTTAACCTCCATATGGATGACCAATGTATCATATTTCATTGATAAAGTAATATGGTTGTTACGACGGACCTAGACTGATTAGAGTCGTGTGTGTTGCAGGGTACTTCTAACCACTGCGCAACATTCATCCTTGGAACAATAAGTGACTATTACATAATAGTTTTCGAATTTATACTTTCTCATCGTTACTCCTCCAAATGCAACAATAATTTACGACTTTTACCTATTATACATGCAACTTGTCGCTGAAGTGTGTGGCACGAAACGGCATGCACGTCGCACAAGAAGCATCTTACTTTCCAAAAGCATTAAATCATCCACAAGCAACTTTACATCGTTCTAAACAGAAGGGTTCTGCTCTTCAAACTTCTCTGTTTCACCTTTTCACTTTACTAGACAAATTTAAACAACAAATCTTGGTTACTTGTGACTCAATATCGAAACCAGAGTTGTCCAGTTCTGAAATCACCACCATAGTACTGGATGACGGAGTCGACGTATTCACATACTGATCAGACCTAAAAGTTGCAAGGGTCAATGTAGGTTACTACGTCCCCATCTTAATAGCGTTTTTTAACATAATACTTAACATGTACACTTGTGTATCCACCAAAAACCTTTTCATAAATGAACAAAATCAAAGCGACAGCCAGATCCAACAAGACTATAATTAATTACCTCAAAACATTCTCTACATGTAGTGCTAGAGATAAGGAGAAAGTAATTTAAGGGAATTTAGTTACAACTTAAATCTAACATCGTTCTACAAAGTGTTTCAGCGCAACAAAACTACGTGGTATTATTCGAGACATCTGAGAATTCATATCAAATAATGGTGTACCGGATGCTTATCTTATTTCAAGACTGTGGCACTCTAATACATCTCCCAGACAGTCTATAAAGAAAAAAAAACCAATTTATGGACCGGCCTAAATAATGTTCATATCTGAACTCGGAAACGACGTGAAATTAATAGGAACCGAATAAGCCTCTCACCCAGCACTATTTGGACTGCCGATCTCCTCTTTCAGTGATAACTCGGTTTGTTCTTTCACGCGTCGTTCCTCTTCTTTTTTCTTCTTTAACGCCTTCGTATATCGAATTTTATCCCGATCGTGTTGAATAGCTGAAGAAGACGTCTCTGCTTAACACACAACGGCAAATATTAACTAGATCAAATTCATGTTCTCGTCTGTTTCTTTTGGATCTTAGGTTTTTCTTCCTAAAATTGTTAACTTTCCTAGTCATTTTTTCCTAGGTTTTTCCTGTTTTCTATTTACAAGGTAGTTTTCTCACCGCAAATGTTGCACAAGGCTGTAGATTGCTTCCTACATAATATAATTCGCAACAATTGTTTTTTTGCACGAGCTTGTTCGTTCCGCAACGAAACTGTTGCCGTGGAGGAGGGTGTTAACACATTTCAATGTGGACTCACAACAATGCGCAAAGGGTACATTTTACACTCTTGACACTACCAGTGAAACTGTGTACATGAAAAAACGTCCCACATATTGCATCAAGTGGTGACCTACTTTGAACGTATGTCAGCAAATATTCAGCAGTGAAGTCCTAGCCTAATAATTTCAAAGAACAGCCAACATAACGCAAAAATACTTCTGGACTTCCCTCCGGAATATACCTACTTAAAGCTGTAAGCAATACTCGAACAAAGCATGAACGTATATCAGTCTTTAATTCAACCACAACGCCGCAGAGACATTTATAAAACTCAGACCTCAGGCCAGATTCGATTAAACATTGTGATTTCGAATGCAACCTAAGCGTAACTGGGTTCAATGCCGATTTGTGAGCCCCAGATCATTCCCGTTGACCAGAAATTGCTGACAGCAGCGTTAAGGTAAAAAAGAAAGTGACCGAGAAAAGACAAAGCAATGGTCTCAGTAGTGCACTGGCTAACATGTGACCCTCTGGAAAGAATAATCGTGGGTTAGGAATTGTTTTAAGTCTTGAAAATATCTCAGAATCACTGTGGTTGTATTTTAAAAAATACCCCGGGCAGTGAATAAAAAAGTTAGTCTTTATCCATTCATAGACATATTCAGCATATTTTGGCAGTCCTCCAATCACTGACTGAACACGCCTGAGTTATGCTTGTGTCATTTGTGCCTCCTCTGTGTCATGTACTAGCAGGACGAGACCCTCCATCCTAACATTTCAAAGCACTTATACGAATACAAAATATGAAAAGGACACGTGCGGCACCAACGGTCGGAGGCATCTTGCAATACATGGGATCGATTCCCGCTCCCATGACCCACCAAGCATTCCGTCACGCCGGGTCGGTAAATTGGTAACAGATTTTTTGGAAGGAATTTGGAAGGATAGCAGCACTGGGTCGATACACTGTTAGACCACTACGAGTCATTGAAAAGGCTAGATATGCGTTCAATCACCTCCAACGATGCTTAATGAAGTCGAATGCATGGCGCATCCCTCAGGGATTGATCGACGCCAAGGACATTCATTATCCATTTATTTTATCCATAAAAATATATACATTTTAACCAAAAGACACGTTCTGAAAGATCTCATGCATTACGCTTCCACGTGAATTCTGTGCGGTCGGTCTTTACGCGACATACTCAGTGGAAGACTCACAGAAAGCGGCTCTGACGAAGACGAAATCCGCCGAAACGTCAGCTTGTGCGTAAATAAAGAAATAAAATAGCACTTCTGAATCTGTTGTGACAAATTTGACAGGTGCTCTTGCCTTTACAAGCATCCTGTACTATAGCTTAGATAGTCTGTGAAGTGGAGGTGGCAAACCACTTGTAATTTGCGACCCAACATGATTGCATACGTGTGCCATGCTGTCTGAGGAACCGCCATGAAAGCTTGGAAATTACCAACCAAAGATAGTCTATTCTTATCCATTCAATAGCTACCACTTTACATAACTAGTTCTTCTCATGTATTTGTTCGCCTCTTTCACAACTAAACCATTAAATCAAATTAATTAATAAAAATTGTCAATCCAGTTTATACCCCGTTTCAGCGTATCTTCTAGAATACTCATCGACATTTAACGTAATAATGATGAACCACGATGAATCACAGTTGACACATGGAATATGCAGATACGAAAAAAGTAATTTAAAAGCCTGAAATATACCCAGTAAATATTGCAAAACCCACAACGAAGGGCTGGCAGCATCGTGGTTGGATGATGGATGAGCTTTTTTAACACCACAAACAAGAAATGGAAGTGTTCTAAAAATATCCATAATGATGGACATAGGATGAATTCAAATTCGCGAACATGCGGTAAAAATTCTCCGCCGGGCAATATGTTTTGACTGGAACATTGCTCCTCACGTACATACGACAAACATATGAAGTATCATTACTAATGTCTATTTCTATTTCATTTTATACGACCCGCGTTCACATCTATTGTGTGGATATCAACTCTCCTCGCATTCGATTCGCTTCCTCGCATCCATCATCCACTAAGATCTTCCAAGTTTTTACGTGTGGCTTCGCATGCTGCTTGAGAACTTTCATTTCATCGTGAATATCGTTGAATGCTGGTGGAGTTGATTCTCCTTGAGTCGTGAGATAGCCGGGCAAGAGAGTTCCCGCTTGGATTGCAGGCAGTGAATATTTCCCGACGAGTCCGGTATCAATTTCCCGACCACGAAGGGATGAGGGACTTGCTAAGCCCGATTTGCGATGGAACCACCACCGTGCTCCTGATGACCGGCATCACTACCACTGTGCTACCTGCCCCTCCGTTTCGAAACTGGAACAACGAATTGAAGCACCACTTCTCGTGTTTTTTTTTTGGAAAGCAAGTTATGAAAACTGAAAACCAAAAATATTAGTTTACAATCTTTCACTTCATTATGCTAAGAAATTTAAAGAGAATGAAAACAACTATTTCTAAAAAATCAATAATAGTGTGAGAATTCCATGGAACTACGGTCCATAAGTAGCTACGTAGTTTTCAGATACATATGGCATATCATACATTTCAAGTACTATGACGCAGATTCTGTGAAGGTTAGTACGAGCATATCACACCGATTGCTTTAAAACACAGGGTGTACCTGATTGAGCAGGCAATGAAAGAATAAATAAGAGCTCTCAACGGGTTCGATTCCTTCTTGTTGCCCTCATTATTCAATACAACACTCATTCCTCAATCAAACCACTTTTTTTTGCTGTATATCAGCGCCTTTAAAACGAAACTGGATAAAGTGTTACCTGTACGGTAAGCAGGTTTCCATTTCTGAGTAATATAGACTTAATCCAATCGTTCTCGTAGTTTACACTAACCTTCACAGTGTAAACCAATAATGCAATTTTAGGATAACATTTGAACAAATCGAATCTATAGATATGAAGTGCAAAGGTAACATGCAGCACCAAATTGAAGCTTAAATCCTCTGCTGTCGTTCAGTTCTCCTCCAATGAGTGAAGAACGGCAGGAAAGTCACAATATAGTGAAGAAATAGAGGCATGATATAATGTTAAACAAGCTAACCTCCGTCATTTGGTGTAAACACATGGCCACACGCACAATTCTGTACAAATGCTTATACACCAGGAAATTAGACAGTAATACATAAGTCGCGTGCAATACAGTGGCTGGAAGGAATACGATAACAGCTGAATGGGTAATTTGCATTCCACGAGAACCCAGAGGTCAGCAACTACGGCGCGAACAAAAACGTTCCAGAGTATGTCGTAGAAATCAGCAACAAATAGGTGACAGTTCAAGTCCATCAGCGCAATTGCATTGATTAAATATAAAGCTTGAATCCAGATCTTTCATCCACCTAAAATTCCGAAACTTCCACTAAAATGCGGGTGTGAAAGGTTCAACAATACTTAAGATATTATCGACAGCTCAATTATACATCACTTAATATGAAATGGATTAGGCAAATTAAACTTGATAGATCGGTTGACTAACTGCTGGCGGTCGTTGTCGTGAGTCAGCAAACCTTTCGCCGATTACAACGACCGACGATTTGTGGCGAAAATTCAGGAATCCACTTGCAGGACGACCTTTGGATTCCAGTGAAAACCGTGTTCAACAAAAACTCTACATGTTAAATAGAAAGGGAACCACTCCTATAGACAATAATTGTGAACAGAATAACAAAACGAATAGGAAAAGTGGTAAGGGCTGCACGATGTGTGAAGACGGCCTATCTAAGCATCTAAGCAACATGAACTACGCCGACATTGAGAGTATTTTAATTCCACTGAGAACGGGATAACCGAAATTTTATCAAAGCATGACATGAGTATCACAAAGTTCATAATTAAAGGAAAAACCGGAATACTGAGTTTGGAACGACTGTGTACTCCTTAAAAATAATCTAAGGAAATAATAGAAAAAATAACATTCGGATTTTTGTGGAGCACTGAAGGTCTAACTCCTTGTAAACTTGTATTTTCGGACTCTTTTCTCGAAATTTTCGCCAATAATAGAAATAACACATATGCAAAGTAGGAAGTACTCTTTTACCAGTGTTTAGCTTTTTATTTACTGCTTATATTTTCCATAGCAGGATGTGATGTGGAAAACAACCAGAACTGTGGTGAGATATTTCGAAACCGACTTTCCTTGAACCTCGGCATCACTAATCAATATGTATTCTTTCTTTGATGAGCTTACACGAGGTTGATAATGATGTTTATTTTCGGCTAACGTTTCGACGTCTTCGTCTTCATCAGAGCCGATGATCCGAGTTGATGGTCCACGCTTGTTATTGTCTCGACGTGGCAGCTTCGCCTTCGTGTCGAGTCAGGTCTTCCTCGGTGAGCCATCTCCTATTTTTCGAGGAGACGAATAACAAGCGTGGACCATCAACTTGGATCATCGGCTCTGATGAAGACGAAGACGTCGAAACGTTAGCCGAAAATATATATCATTATCAACCTCGTGTAAGCTCATCAAAGAAAGAATACACATTGTGATGAGATATTTGCGAAAGCTGGAACCCAGACTAAATTCGAACTTGCGATTACCCTTCCTGGAGGGCTCATGTGTTGTCCATTGCACCACCGAAACCCTCGCTTTATATTTCTCTTAGCGACTTTTTTTATTCTAACGGTACCATCAGCAAAAACTGGCTAAGAGAAACGCAAGGCAACGAGCTCGGTGGTGCAGTTGATAACACGTGAACTCACGGAAAAGGATTTTTTTAATTCAAAATCTGTCACAGAATACAGAAAAAATTTAATGTGCAATAAAAAGAATGTGTGCAAGTAAAATATCCAAAAAGGGGTTACCTTTGGGATCCATGCCCATGTCGAAACACTTTTTCAAACGACAACTTCGACACACGCATCGAACAGCTGCAAAATTTCACTTCATCTTCGACTTCAGGAAACCTTACAGTCGGCTCCAAATTCGCCATGTTTGCTATGTCACATGTTTTAAGTGTGTTTCAATAATAGTACTTTGTTCATATAACTTCTCTATTGAATATTTCTGTAAAGCATGAAATTATGTTTCATATTTGGTCGAACAATCATTAATCGGAAAGAACGTGATAAAACCAACATTTACCCACAACACAGTCACCGGAGAACTGACAAGTGAATGTTTGCTTGTTCTGCAAATATAACAGATAAGTATTCCGTGAACACAGAGACGTTCCCTAGTTTGTTTCTCATGTTCCATAAACCGCATGGATAAGTATTTGATACCCTACTTTACCTTTCAACGAATAACAACTTACTACGAGAGCACGTCGGAAAAATGTTTTACAACCGTTGCAACTCGGTACGGAGTAATGTACGCCGCTAGCGAGATCCGCGCAGACCACGCAAGGAGTGCCTTCAGGGATCTTCTCGCGCTCTGCAAATTCATTCATAATTCTTTCGCACGACATACTACACTTCCTGCAGTCGTTTTTACAGCGTTTTAACAATACTCATAAAAACACTGTTTTCTGTTGAAATTACTGAATCAGTGACCTCGTCACTCACCTAAAACACGAGTATACTTACAGTATATAACAGCATATAGTCAAAATTGTATCGCTGTCACCAATATTAACGTTACCATTTATGCGACGACGAGACCTCTATAAAAATCGTCCAAAACGAAAGTAGAGGCTGCTTTCAAATTCGTCTCAGCATAGCTCATGGCGAATTTCATTAGTTGCAATAAAAAGTATTAGAATCTACAAACCCAATAGAGCAAAATTTTTATGGTATTACCATTATGAGGAAATGGCCGCGGGTAGCGCAAATGGCCACGTATAGCACAAATGGCCGCGTGTAAAGCAAATGGGCACGTGTAGCGCAAATGAGCGCGTGTAGCGCGGTGGTCGGAGGCACCCTGAAATACACATGGGATCGATCCCAGCGTCCCAGACTCACCAAACCTTCAATCCCTCCAGGGACGGCAAATTAGTACCAGATTTATCTTCTGGAGGGATAGCACCACTGGATCGACACAACGGTAGACCACGACGAGTCACTATAAAGGCCAGAAATGCATTCAGCCATCTTCAACGATCCTTAGTGAAGTCGAATGCATGGCGGATCCCCTAGATATTGATCAATTCCGAGAGCTTTGACCTTTATCCTACCATGATGGAATTCCGACTTGTCAAGGTCAAGTTTTCTAATGTATCGTTTTTTTTGTAACAACCGCTTACCGTCCAATGTTTTACAAAGTTAGGTTTCGCACCAATCTTCTCAAACGATAGGATTCTGATTTATAGGGTTTAATCCTAAAAATCTAACGCATGTGATTTCATCGATCATTCATACCGAGGTTAAATGACGATCGATCTGATTAACATTCATTCTCTAGAAGATGAAAATTTAAAGGACACTGTTTAGATATATATGCCATCAATTCAATAAAACAAAGTACTATCTATAAAGATACGAGTTTTTGAATACCTGAAATACTCTACTGATCAAGAAATTATCGTTGGCGTAAAGCCGGCTTTGTCACGAAAAGTTAGCAGGATGAAGAACAAGTCGTCCGATATTGATCGATTTCATAGAAATGTGCCCCGCACTCTATTCCATTAGGCATCCTGGAGGTGAGCTAATGAATACTAGGCCTATTACAGTGACTTATAGAGGTCACGGATTTATCACCTTTTTGTTTTCATCCACCCAGACAACTTTGGTATCACGCTTAAATCCTTCTCGAAGAAGCTGTTTTTTCGAAAACTGATGATAATTCCTCGATCAGCAGGATATTTCAGGAATTCAGAACTTAGTGGATTTGTAGAACATGCTTTTGTTCCACCGAGCTAAACGCATGTGTAGTTTCTACACAGCGTCCTCCCAGATTTAAATATGTTGAAAATGAAAGTTTTCAAAAAAAAGCGTGACTCAAAACTCGTAAAATTTACAACTCGGGTCATGCTACACCAAATTTCGCTTGCCCATTTGGTTTCGTGTTCGAAATATGAGACTCGAAGCGAAAGTGGTAGGCATATTTGTTATTGGCTTCAGAAGATAAGAAGTTCATTGTTTAAAAACAAGAGCACTTTTATCACATAGATAAAGAATTGCAGACTCCAACAGTCTCTACTGCAATTAATTAATGAATGAATAACTATAGTCTGAATGCCAATCTAGGTTTGAAAGCGGCCATTATCCCCGCAACGTATGACTTCTACAGAGGTCAAGTACGTCGCGTATATGTTGATGGAGACTAATGCATGAGGCATTTTAAGGGATACATTAATGTACCATCTTACCCTTGAATATCAGTAATGTGTCGTTTAAATAACGTGTGGAATGTGAGACTTAAGGAAAAAACTGTGAAAGCTTGTGTATGTCGCAAAGCATTTCTTGGAGAAAGTTTCCTTCTGCTGTTCTTACGCGAAGACATGTCGTGAAAGAGTACCACGAAATTAGAACAGGAAATACTGCTTTTGTAAGAATAGCGCAAACCCTGCTGTCACAATACCGGCATCCAAAAGCTATGTATGATGTGAGATATGCGCACCACGACGCAAGCATTTCATAGTTAGTGAAGTGGTGAAGCGCGATTTCCCGTTCCATCGCATTCCTCCACACAGAAACATTACAAAACACTGTTTCAACTACAGTAAGAATAAGCATTCTTTTGATCAGCACGATAAGGTATGCATGTGCTCTTAATCTACGGAATGCACAACGAATTAGAACCTAACCATGGAGTATTCTGCATAGCACTTTCGCTAAATTTACATTTTGGCAAAAGCAAAGAGCTTAAAAAGCAACGGACAATTACCGTGCTCAACATGGACGATCTCTATTACTTCTAGCTTGAGTCACTCCATGATTTATGAGACTGAAGGTTGTACTATTCCATTTCATGACTACATGATATGAGCTCAAACTTTTTCTCAGCCACAAATCTCACTCTACTACTTTGTTGTCCGGTGTTGAAAATGATACAAAACATCGAAGAACTTTTAGTGTCTAAGATTAAAAGTGAGTCGAGAACAACTAGATAGACAGAGAACAGTGATACAGCGAGCTCTCTGTGATAAATTTTTTTCATTGTCCACATTTAACAGGTAACAAAGCAGTAAAAAAATCAATATGTTAAATTTCAAACCATTCTGTTTTTGGAAACTTCCCTCAATAAGCCGATAAAAAGATGTTGACACGCATTTTGAACTTTAGAACCTAAAATATTGACGATTCTACCTTCTAAATAAGCGTGAAGGGTAAAGCGCTGCCTTACTCGATGACCACAACGTAGTGTTCACGAAAATTCGATGACCCAGCTTTAATGTGTTAAAAATCACTAACCGTTTTTCTGGTGACTACGTTTTCCAGAAAGAGTGACATGTAAAGAATTAATCTGAGTCACGGTCCCAAGTGAAGTCTGACGGTGTGGCATTCGTCCTTTCGACTAATTTTCGAGTAGTTCACAGGATCGACTTTCTATTAACCTTGGCATTGAAATATGAATGAATATGAATGTGTCGTTTTCTTGTTAAGCAATCGCGAGGTTTTCAAACAGCATACGTTTACTTCCATAGAAAAACACAATACAATACAACAGTGGCTGACGTTTCGGCAGTATCGCCTTCTTCGGAGCCTGGAAGGGTATACTGATATACAATCTACTAGGCCAAACGCTTCAATAACACTTACAAAAAGACGAAAAACTCTTTGGTAATCACATGATCAACAACTTCTCTAAAAACCCACCGCTTTTTCGTAACTTCCAATGAGGAAGATTAGAACAGCTGGTTATAGTCGCATATGGTCGATGACTGCACCATCCCACATCAAAAATCGATGCGAACATACGGGATCAGGTCGCGTATGACCTCCGGGCATTCGTCCCTGCTATTCATTGCAGGATTTTTGGCATTTATCCAAAAAGCCTCAAGTTCTCGCTGGTGTTTTGGACTCCTGTGCAAGGATATTGACTTTTACTTCAAAATCGTCTCCGCTATGCTTTTGTATCCTATGCGTGCCTAGTGGGCTGCTTCGTCTTATTTTTCGTTTGCCATCTAGGTGCCCTTTTATACGGATACACAAAGGTCTGCCCGTTTCGCCAATATATTCATATCCGCAATTATTACAAGGGATCAGGTATATCGTACCTGAACCCATGCAATCACCGTCCCTGCCGTAAGGGCAAATTACGCAATTTGTTGTTTCACACAGACGGTCATACAAGCGGTTGCGAACTAATTGGCGACGTAGAGTAGCCGGTGGTATTTCAACTATCGCTACCGATTCCTCTAGACCTGCCCTTCTTAAGCATCGTTTTATAGCTGCGCTTACTTCATCGCTTATAAAAGGCAACATAAACGGGATTTTGTTTTGGCCAAGTGTTTCGCGTGGGCGAGTCGTTCTCCTTGTAAACTTATCTCGTGGGGTTACTATTCCGTAGCCATTGGAGATGGCTATTTGCCGAGCCAAGTCGCGCGATTCTTCCTTTAATTCCCTGGTAGTGCACACAGAGGTTCGAAACATGTTTCTCACAATCGCCCTCTTTGTGTGTGAAGGGTGGGAAGAAAGGAAATGGACAAGGATGTTCTTGTTACTTGGCTTTCGATACCACTTTGTCAGGTAACCGCTACTTGATAGGTTTATTTGAACGTCCAAAAACGGAAGCCAGTTTTCTCTCGGTTTCTCACGGGTGAACTTTATGTACTCGGACTGCTCGTTCAATAATTCAAAGCACTTGTCCATTTCTTCCTGCGTTGAGAAGACGACAAAACAATCATCTACATATCTGCAGTAGAGTAGTGGCCGGAGATCGAGAACAGAGGCTTCTATCTTAGGCATAAACACAATGGCAAGGCCTGGTGCCAATCGCTGTCCCATTGCCAACCCCCTTATTTGTGCGAAATATTTCCCAGACCATCTGAAAATCGAGCAGTTTAGGCACTCCTTTAAGAGAGCCATTAGCTGTTGGATGGACAAGCCATGCATATTTATTCTTCCTTCATGTTCAACAAGAAGTTCAAAAATGGCTTGCATTGCGGAGTCATTCGACACGTTGGTGTACAGTGCGGTAACGTCAAAAGACTCCATCACGTACGCGTTATTAGGAGACGCGTTACGTAGACGTTCTAGGAACATTTGGGTGTTTGTGTGCTGGAATGTGGTTAAGCAACTAGGTAAGTATCAGGCTTAAAAACCAGGTTATTCTATCCGTTAGCCCGTCTACACAGCTGATGATCGGTCTAACCCTAAATGATGGCGGATTGGTTGACGCATGATCATCAGATGATACCAACTTATGTGTTTTAATAAGTAGGTAAAGGACGGGACATGTTGGTCTAATGATTTTATATAAGGAGTGAGAGTTCGTAGTTATCCCTCTCCAGCTGGATGTTGAGATATCAAAGGAACATCTTAGTGATGCTACTCTCTATCGCCCATC